CCATATACATTTTTAGAATCACTTTGCTATCCAGCACAGAAATCCTGCTGGATTTTGGTTGGTTGTGTAGTTGAACCTTTAGGTCAGTTTGAGAATTGATTTTTTTTTTTTAATTTGTATATTTATTTGAGAGGCAGGATTACAGAGAAAGGGAGAGACAGAGAGTAAGGTCTTCCATCTGGTAGTTCACTCTGCTAATGGCTGCATCTGCTAGAGCTGGGCTGATGTGAAGCCAGGGAGCCAGGAGACTGTTCCAGGTCTCCCAAGTGGATATGGGGGCCCAAGTACTTGAGCCATTTTTTCTGTTTTCCCAGGCCATAAACAGCTGGATTGGAAGAGGAGCAGCTGGGACTTAACTGGTGCCCGTATGGGATCCCTGCACCACAGGCAGAGGCTTAGCCTATTATGCCACAACACTGGCCCCATTAATAAAATTTTTTTAAAAATTTATTTGACTTAGTAGCAAGTCAACTTGATTAGGGTACAACTGCAAGTTCTTTCTTGCCCTATAGTCAATGAGTCCTTTATCTGTTCACTTTTCTTTCTTTCTTTCTTTTAATTTTTAAAGATTTATTTATTGGAAAGTCAGAGTTACCAAGGTAGAGACCTTCCATCTACTGGTTTGCTCTCAAGATGGCCAGGAATCTGGAACTCCATCCATGTCTGCTGTGTGGGTAGCAGGGTCTTAAGCACTTGGACCATCTTTTGCTTTCCCAGGTGTATTAGCAGAGACCTGGATTGGGAGTGGAACAGCCACAACTGGAACTTAGATCGATGCCAGTATTGTAGGCGGTGGCTTAACCTGCTGACCCACAACACCATCCCATATCTGTTCACTTTCAGAGCCTTTGCTGTGTTGCTTACATCTGCCCTGCTGTTCCTTCTTAGAGTGATGTAGGACATGGCAGTGATTTATTCTGTTCTGAAAGCCTCTCTCTTGTACTTCTTTGGGTGTGTTGCACATACGTACAGCGTGTAGGGAGGCCCAGAACTTGATTTATAACAGACTTGGGCATCTTCTCCAAATCTCTCTTCCCAGTGATTTTCCCGTATTTAACACTCAGGGAGGGGCCTTTGCTTTGTTTCCCTAACCTGAAGCATGGAGTTCTGTCAGCTGTGGTCTTGTAGACAGGTGTCATGGCTTGGAGGGAAATGGTAAGAGGAAAATAGATAACAGGAGTTCCTTCCCGCACTGTTCTCGTGCCAGGGACCCTCTTCCGGTCCCTGTATGCTGTCAGGGGTTTCCTCCTGTGGTACTCTGGGACCTCTCTGTTACTGCACAGTTTTATGACTAGGGCGACAGGAGAGAAAAAAAGAGAAAAGTAAAGATTTCCCCCATATTCTCCAGCAATGTATTTCCCTATACCCCTGGCCAAAAAGATGTACTCTTAGTATTTACTGATCATATCCACTGCACAGTTTCTTTCTGTGGCCACCCTGACATGTAGAATTTGGTACTATCCACAGTTTCAGGCATCTGCTGGGGTCTTGGAATGTTTCCTTCATGCTTTAGAGGGGCCGTTATATTCACATAAAACATTTATGTGACAAAATGCACCCAATTTGTAGTTTGAATTTTGTGTCATGTATACCCTCATGTAACCACTTTCACATTCAATATATAGAACAATTTTTAGTCTTGAAGTAGCACCTTGACAGTAGGGACTCCATTTTGGAGCACTTGAGACTCCATTCTGGGAAAGCACCCCCCCACCGTGAGACTCTGGTCTGAAACTATGATCTCAAATAGTCGGACAATAGCAGTGCACTACATCACCCTTGGCAGAGCACAAAACCCCCCTAGCATGATTGCTCAAGCTTGAAAGTAGAAAGGTTGCACCTGGGTTAATGAGAAAGATGTGATTTGTCTATGTCTTACCTATAATTTGGATTAATGTCAAGATCCTAATTGATAATTGTAAGATTGTAACTGGTATTGTCAAGATTATAATGGATATTAATTTCACTTAGGACTTGGGTTATGTTGACCCCAGTAACTATGTACTCTTTTTTGATTTTAGCAACCGTGTATCCCCCCTCCCGATTTTGCGGTTTTTGCCTTTATAAACCCTATACTTTAGTTCCTTGGGGCTCCTCTGTTCTTGCATGTTCAGAGAGCCCCAGCATGCTGGATCAATAAACCCTTAACCCTTTGCTGGTTGCATGAGAGAGTCTCTTGGAGTCGTTCTTGGGGGCGGCGGACGTTTTTTTAAACTCTAACAGTCTCAAAAAGCCCCTGTGCTGCTTTGCATTCTTGGTTCTCCTACCCACCCTTCTCTGAATTGCCTTTGGTATTTCTTCAGGTTCTAAGTGGAGGAATGGGAGGCGTATTCGATACGGATTGTTCTAGTTTTGAATTCATAACTATCCCATTACTTAGTTGCTAGAGATTGGATATTTTATGTAATATTTGAGAGCCTTGTCATAGTTTTCTCATTTTAAAAGGAAGTTCAGGGCTGGCGCCACGTTTCACTTGGCTTATCCTCCACCTGCAGTGCCGGCACCCCAGGTTCTAGTCCCGGTTGGGGTGCCGGATTTTGTCCCGGTTGCCCCTCTTCCAGGCCAGTTCTCTGCTGTGGCCCGGGAGTGCAGTGGAGGATGGCCCAAGTCCTTGGGTCCTGCACTGGCATGGGAGACCAGGAGGAAGCACCTGTCTCCTGGCTTCGGATCAGCTTAGTGCGCTGGTTGTAGCGGCCATTTTGGGGGTGAACCAACGGAAAAAGGAAGACCTTTCTCTCTGTCACTCTCTCTCTCTGTCTAAATCTGCCTGTACCCCCCGCCCCCCAAAAAAAAGGCAGTTAAGGAAAGTGCTCTGGGAATTACTTGGGGTATATAAAGCACTTTGTACAGGAATTGGTTGGCATAGGGTGCATGCTGGGTCTCCATCACCTCTTTGTGCCCTCTGTGCTGCAGTAGTGACCAAAATAGAGTATTTGGAAATATTTCTTACTTTATAACTTAGGGTCCTGGCAAAATATTGGTCGTTTGTCATTATTGTGCCACTATGGCCTACACAAAAATTTTAAATAACAAGCTGTTGGGAATGAAATGAAATTATAATTCCCAGTATAGTATGCACATTATCAAACTTAGATATGCACACATATGCTTAAAAGACGAGCTAGACAATAGACAAAAAGTTGTTACATTGTCAACTTGGGGGAACCACTGATCTGATTTCCGAGTCCCTTTGGCAGTGATCATGTTCAGGGAGACCTTGACCCTGTTAAAATATCGAGGTGGCATCTTGGAATTAAAGTTTCTCTTAGTGATTTCATTAAACGGTAACAGGTTTGAGAGCCCTTAGATGGAGCTAGTATTTGGTAACAGAACTCCATGCAGAAGAGGCAATGGTTTAGACTCAGAGATCTTCCATTTGCTTGTTGACTTCCCCCAACTGGCTGGACCAGGCTGAAAGGAGCCAGGAACTCCATCTTGGCTCCTATGTTGGTGGCAGGGTCCCACGTACTTGGGCCATCATCTGTGCCTTCCCAGATCCATTAAAAGGGAGTTGGATCAGAACCAGATTACGTGGGACTTGAACTGGCACTTAGACATGGGTTGCCAAAACACAGGCCTCACATGATGTTATTCTGAACAGTTCCTTAAACAATTTTCCCTAAGCTTCCTATCTGGTGGTAGAAACTCTAATGTACTAAAATGTTGAGTTGAAGGTTGTTAGAAGGGTGTCAGGGTCCAAGAAGTGAGGACCTTGATTAGCAAAATGCTGGTGTGGACGTATAGGACTGTTTGCACATTTGTCTGGGAGGGGTATGAATAGGTGTGAGTTTTTCTGTGGTAATTGGTGCTGTTGAGAAACAGTTGATAAGAGAGATCTCTTGTGACAGTTTTATATATGATTACTTTAAATCAGTAGTTAATTCTGTGGTCTGACTATGGGAAAGTAAATGAGTTCACAGAGATCCTTTTTGACCTAAGAAATTTTTACATGAAATATAAATAAGCTGGTTTGAGTCCCACTTACGGCGCTGTAACTATTTCTAGTGAATGAGTCAGGCTTTACTGATCTCTTATACCTTGTTGTTTTTAGCTAAAATTCCATTCCGAAATAGTAAACTCACTAGTGCCATGGGAGATGGAGATATTTGTGACGGCCCTGAATGATAGAGCAGGAAACTTTGGTTTTATTTCACAGTGCTAGCTCGTCTTTCTAGAAATGAAAGAGCAATCTACGATCATACATTGTAAGTTATTACATAGTAGAAATATTTTAAGTATTTCTGAAGTACTCTCTAACTTTAAAATGGCTTGAACTTCTTGAGCTATTTAGTGTATAAGATGCTATAAATCTTTTTTTAAAAGATTTTTATTATTATTATTTATTTATTTGAAAGTCAGAGTTACACAGAGAGAGGAGAGGCAGAGAGAGAGAGGTCTTCTATCTGATGGTTCACTCCCCAATTGCCTGCAGCGGCTGGAACTATGCCGATCTGAAGCCAGAAGCCAGGAGCTTCTTCCAGGTCTCCCACATGGGTGCAGGGGCCCAAGGACTTGGGCCATCTTCTAGTGCTTTCCCAGGCCATAGCAGAGAACAGGATTGGAAAAGGAGCAGCTGGGACTAGAACCGGCGCCCGTATGGGATGCCGGTCCTTCAGGCCAGGGCATTAACCTGCTGTGCCACAGCACTGGCCCTGATGCTAGAAATCTTATTAGTTATATTTATTGTGCTCATATGGCAGTTTGTTAAATCTTAATCGCAAAAAAAAAGTTTTATTAATTTGTGATAGTATAGTGATTTATCTTTTAGAATTTAATTTCTCTTTGGCTCTTTTCAAATCCTGTAGAAATCTGGCCTATTGTGACAAACTCCTTTTAAATAGTCTGGACCTTTATAAAGTTTTGTGTGCCCCTAGGGGAATAAAGAAATGGCCCAGGAAAGAAAACGTGGGAGTGTTATTATGTAAATTTAAATTAACATAGAAGCTCATTAAATGTCAGTGAGATGCTGTTGCCTTAAAATGCTTTTTTTCTCCCCTCAGAATCCTGCAACTATCACAAGAATACTCCTCAGCCACTTCAACTGGGATAAAGAAAAGCTAATGGAAAGGTAAGGAATTACTGTCGGCTTTGTGTTTAGAGGAGACACAAGAACTCTGTTGAACCAAATCTACCAGAAGAAAGTAAGGACATGATTTGTATGCCAGTATGTGAATGAACTGCCCGTGCCAGTAGTAAATGCTTCCATTGCTTGTATTCCTCATCTGTAAGTTTTGCAGTTTTTAGGGAATTCAAGAGTTAATGTTTCTTTTTTTTTTTTTTTTTTAAAGACTTATTTTATTTATTTGAAAGACAGAGTTACAGAGAGAGAGAGGTCTTCCATCCGCTGGTTCACTCCCCAGATGGCCTCAACGGCTGGAGCTGTGTCGATCCGAAGCCAGGAGCCCGATGCTTCTTCCAGGTTTCCTACGTGGGTGCAGGGCCCAAGGACTTGGGCCACCTTCTAGTGCTTTCCCAGGCCACAGCAGAGAGCTGGAGCAGAAGAAGAGCAGCCGGGACTAGAACCGGCACCCGTATGGGATGCTGGCGCCTCAGGCCCGGGCTTTAACCCACTGCGCCTCTTATTTTGGAGATAGGAACTGTACTTCAGTATGTTCTACATACATTCTCTTTAGACCCAAGAACTATAACTTGGTTGAAAAGAAAAAGCAGTTCTATTGAAGCATGAGAATAAGATCTTCCTTTAATTCCTTAAAAAGAGTTCTTACAAAACTTTATTTTTTAAAAAAGCTTTATTTTATTTATTTGAAAGAGTTACACAGAGAGGAGAGGTGGAGAGGCAGAGAGAGAGAGAGAGAGAGAGAGAGAGAGAGGTCTTCTATCCTCTAGTTCACTTGCCAATTGGCCACAACAGCCGGAGCTGTGCTGATATGAAGCCAGGAGCCAGGAACTTCTTCCTGGTCTCCCACGTGGGTGCAGGGGCCCAAGGACTTGGGCCATCTTCTGCTGCTATCCCAGGCTATAGCAGAGAGCTGGATCAGAAGTGGAGCAGCCAGGTCTCAGACCTGTGCCCATATGGGATGCTGGTGCTTCAGGTCAGGGCGTTAACCCGCTGTGCCACAGCACCGGCCCCCTTACAAAACTTTTAAACTGTTAAGCATAGTAGTGATATTTAATTAAAACAAAATTGAGAAATTGTCTGGGTTTGCTAGCCACCAAACTAGTTTTGGCTTGGGTTAATTTTCTGTTTTCAGAGCAGGATTCTGCTCCATTGGATATTTTTAATATTTTATCTCTGAAACTTTTTAATTCTAAAGGTAAGAAATTTTTGGGACTGGGGAATGACAATATTAATTATACCATTTTTCGTCTGTCCCTTACACTAGACACTTGGGACAAAAATTTTTTAAAAAAATTAGTAACAATAGTAATAGCTGTCAGTTACTGAGTCCTCTTCTGCTGTGTCTCATTTTGCTTCCTGCTGTTTTTATGGAGCTAGAAACAATTGGCCCACCTTAACTGATGTGGAGACCCAGGTTTGGAGCGCATTAATTTAATTCTGTCTGTGACAGAGGGAACACTCAAACCCATTTGCTGGACTCCTTCGCTGCTAGAGCTTTTGCAGAGTTCCTGAAAGACTGAAGGGTAGAATGCTCCTTCACTATTGCGAAATCATTGCGGTTTTCATTGACCTGGCAACCTCTCCTTAAATCAGTGGGGTTTCTTGATTTTGGTAGCTTTTGTTTCAGGTTACTTATTTCATGGTACTTTGACTAGGCAACGGGAGGTTTTATGTTGACACCTGAAACAACTCTGGTGAGCTAGGCTCACATTGTCAGCATTTGTCTCATGTCAGTGCAGGTAGCCCAAGACACGCTGTGCTCTGACTGCTGAAGCGTTTCTCAGATACTGTCCTGAAGGATGGGACATTAGAACTATAGAGTCTAGGAGCCTTGTGGGACACATCCACTGAGTGTGTGAGCTTTATGGTTGTTCATGATTTCAGTTTTGTTTTTAAATAGTGTGAAGAATTAGGTATTTAATAATTTTATAATGGGATCTTGAAAAGTGTCTTTTTTTTTTAAAGATTTATTTTATTATTTATATGAAATAGTTACATAGAGAGAGGAGAGGCAGAGAGAGAGAGAAAGGTCTTCCATCCACTGATTCACTCCCCAGTTGGCCACAGTGGCCAGAGCTGCGCTGATCCAAAGCCAGAAGCCAGGAGCCTCTTCTGGGTCTCCCACGTGTGGAAGTCTTGGGCCATCTTTTGCCGCTTTCCCATACCATAGCAGAGAGCTGGATCAGAAGTGGAGCAGTTGGAACTCGAACCAGTGCCCATATTGGATGCCAGCACTACAGGGTCTTACTAGCTAGCCACAGTACCGCCAGTCCCGAAATAGTGTCTTTAAAATTGGTGCAAAATATCATTTTGTTTCATCTAATAGTTGTCATTTGTCACATGTTGAATGTTAGTAGCACTGCCATGCTTAATCTCCCTCCCTCCCTCCCTCCCTCCCTTCCTCCCTTCCTCCCTTCCTCCCTTCCTCCCTTCCTCCCTTCTTGTCTTTCATTCTAAGGAATTAGTCTGGAATATCTGTTGCAGTTTTTAATATTTACCTTTCCTAAGCTTTTTGTTTTCAGGTATATCATTTAAAAAGCATTTAGATGGTTTTTTAAAAATTAGAAAATAATGGGGCTGGTGGTATGGCACAGTGGGGTAAAGCCCTGACCTGAAGCGCCGGCATACCATGTGGGCACCAGTTCTAGTCCTGGCTGCTCCTCTTCTGATCCAGTTCTCTGGATTGACACAGCTCCGGCCTTTGCAGCCATCTGGGGAGTGAGCCAGCGGATGGAAGACCTCTCTCTCTGTCTGTACTTTTCTCTGTAACTCTTTCAAATAAATAAAATAAATCTTTTTTACAAAGTTAGAAAATTATTCTGTGGAGCTGGCACTGTGGCATAGTGGGTTAAGCCACTGCTTGCAGTGCTGGCATCCCATATGGGTGCTGGTTCGAGTTCCGGCTGCTCCACCTGTAGTCTACCTTCCTGATAATAGGCCATCCAAAGCCAGGAGCCAGGAGCTTCTTCCAGGTCTTCCACATGGGAGCAGGGGCCCAAGGACTTGGGCCATCATCCTCCACTGCTTTCTTAGGCCATAGTAGAGAGCTGGATTGGAAGTAGAGCAGCCAGGACTCAAACTGGTGCCCATATGGAATGCTGGCCCCTAATTCTGCCTTTCAAATAAGCAGGGAGCTGAATCGAAAGTGGAGCAGCCAGGACTCAAACTGGCACCCATATGGCTCTGGCTTAACTTGCTACAGCACAATGAAAGCTACTGAGACCAAATGACACTATATAAATTTTTTTTTAAAATACGATGTGTAGGTTTTTTTTTTTTTTTTAAAGATTATTTATTTGAAAGAGTTACACAGAGAGAGAAGGAGAGGCAGAGAGAGAGAAAGAGAAATCTTCCATCTGCTGGTTCACTCCCCAGTTGGCCGCAACAGCCAGAGCTGCGCCGATCCGCAGCTGGGAGCCAGGAGTTTCCTCCGGGTCTTCCCATGGGCACCCATGCAGGAGCCCAAGGACATTTTTAGTGGATGGCACTTCACAGTCAAACAGGATGGAAATTTTTACTTGTGAAAAATTTCCCCTGTCATCCATCTTCTGGTAAGGTGGGTTTGCTGTGGCATAGTAGGCTACGCTAAGCCTCCACCTCTGGCGCTGGCATCCCATATGGGCACCAGTTCGTGTGCCAGCTGCCCCTCTTCTGATCCAACTCTCTGCTTATAATCTGAGAAAGCAGTGGAAGATGGACCAAGTGTACCTGTGTGGGAGTCCTGGAGAAAGTTCCTTGCTCCTGGCTTTGGATTGAATCAGCTCAGCCTTGGCCTTTGAAGCCATCTGAGGAGTGATCCAGTGGGTAGAAAACCTTTCTGTTGGTCTCTCCTCTTTGTAACTACCTCTCAAAAAAAAAAAAAAAAAAAAAAAAAGATAGATTATAGTACCAAAGTATCTTAGGCTTGTTAAAATTTGGTGAAAAGTAATCTCTATTTTAAACCATTATAGTAAAATGCAAAAATAAAACAACAGTAAGATACAACAATGTTCACTTTGAAGTGTAAGTATATACTCTGTTCTTGAGAACAGCTGCTCTTCAGTGCCAGCAGTGGAAGTGACGGTACATGGATGCCTCAGTGGAGAAGGAGACCGCGTCAAGCTAGAATACTCTATTTATAAAAGAATGTCGAGGCTGGTGCTGTGGCATAGCGGGTAAGGCCATCGCCTGCAGTGCCAGCTTCCAGTGTGGGTGCCGGTTCGGGTCCTGGCTGTTCCACTTCCGATCCAGCTCTCTGCTATGGCCTGGGAAAGCAGTAGAAGATGGTCCAAGTCCTTGGGCCCCTGTACCCACGTGGGAGACCCAGAGAAGGCTCCTGGCTTCAGATCGGGACAGCTCCGGCTATTGTGGCCAATTGGAGTGAACCAGCAGATGGAAGATCGATCTCTCTCTCTCTCTCTCTCTCTCTAACTCTGCCTTTCAAAGAAATAAATAAATCTTTTAAAAAAATGTGTTTTCTTTTTAAGACTGATTTATTTATTTGAAAGGCAGAGTTAGAGGAAGAGATAGAACCATCCCCTGGTTCCTTCCCTAAATGACTGCAGTAGCCGGGCCTGGCAGACATGGATGAACTGGTGCCCATGTGGGGTGCTGGAGCTGTAGGCACTGGTTTTACCTGCTGTGCCACATCGCTGGCCCCATGAATGACACTTAGAAACATTTTGTGTAAAAAGAAGACTATTCTGAATTGTTACTTACAAGTATATGTTTCTCTGTACATAAAATTCAAAAATAGGCAAAACTAAGCTGAATTGTTAATGAAGACAGGGCAGTGATTGCCTTGTTGGTAGAGGGCCTTTCCCTGGGAATGAATGGTAGGGGCTCCTGGAGTACTGGCAGTGCTCTTTGTTAGAGTTAAGCTGCTTGTTTATGTTTATGTATCTTATTAGGATTGCATTTTTTTAAATTTTATTTTATTTTTTTTGACAGGCAGAGTGGACAGTGAGAGAGAGACAGAGAAAGGTCTTCCTTTTGCCGTTGGCTCACCC